TTTTTGCGCGCACATAAAGAAATGAATTTAGAAAATGTTAATTGCTGCAGAAAAAGATTTGAAGGCGTGAAATTGCCCCTTTTATGTGTAAAGTGGTTTTCAATTTTTTCGTTATTTAAAAACTATTCGAGAGATCAAAACATGTTTTATACGAAAGTTTTACAATAAAATTACTTCTATTCATTTGTGTCAATGGTACGAACAAAAGGTTTTTTTTTAATCTTTCTAATAATTATTTTTAAAAAAATTATTGACGTGAATAAATAGAGGTAATTTTATTGTAAAACTTTTGTATAAAACATTTTTTGATATCTCAAATAGTTCTCGAATAACGAAAAAGCTGAAAACCGTTTTATACATTAAAGGGGTGATTTCACCCTTTCAAACCGTTTTTCCACTGCAACTAATATTTTCTAAACTTATCTTTGTGTGTGTATTATATCTACACAAAGTTTCATTAAAATCAGAATTTGACACTCGCGAGGTTCCTTGTAAGTAGCATTAAGATAATTACAGTTAATTTTCAACGTTCTTACCGTATTCGCCCCAATAGTCTCCAGCACCGCTAGCTTGTACTAAGATTAAAGTTCCACTAGACCGGTATTTCGCGGCTGCTCTAATTCTGGGAATGCTAAAGGCTAGTTGCAATTGCACCTCATCGTCAGTCAGTCTCGTCCTCAGGCCGGTTATTCGCAGGGCAGAGACTCCTCTCGCAGTGATATTTTTAAATTGAGCCCTGTAACCATTTGGGCCACCGCCAAGCGCGATATGCAACTCGTCCAGGATAATCGGTTCCACTTCATGATAACCCAGTTGCGGTAAACCTGCAATGCAATTGCAACGTAGTTAGAACGTTATAATGTGCGGTTTCACTCCAAACAACGCAAATTCTTAAGTGTAATAAATCTTACGTAGTTTCTTTAAAAATATTTACTTTTTTATAATTTGTTTGACACTTAAATGTGTCGATTAAATTTGAAAATAGCATAATGACATTTTTTGTTCTATTTAATTTCATGAAATTGTTCTATTTTAATTTTTGAAAATTAGATTGTAATATCAATCTCATTATTTATTTTTGTAATCTGACTAAAAAGTTTATTTCACTCAAAAATGAATTCGATAATTTTCCACCCACTACACGCTCTAACAGCTTGAAGAAAGCTATATTGTTTCAGGTATGCCGAAGTTATACCGCACAATGCAAGTGGAATGTAGGACACTGGGTGACCATTCGAATACACCGTTATAACATGTGGTGATCGTTAACAAAACCACGTGATTACAGAACCGGTTTATTCAGACTTTCAACTTTCAGTTTATTTACAAATGATATAGGTTATATTATTATAAAATATCATATATTTATCTAACAAAATTTTCATGACAGGAAACAAAAATACATTACAATCGTAAAGTATTCTCCAAAGTTAGAATTTTTATATTAATTAAAAAATAATAAATTAACAATAAATTTTACCATAATTTAATAATTTTATTTAATTACATATTTTATTTGCGTTTACTACAAAGCTTTTAATCTTAACTAGAAGTAGATATATTTATTATAGTAAAAAAGAATAACATATTACACACAATTCTCATTTTAGTTAATAAAAAATATTGATAAATGCCATTCTTGTATATTATAAATTTAGCTAGATTTACTAAAGAGATTCATTTTTTCTTAATGAGAAATCAAAATTATTATAGTTGCTTTTATTCAAAGTAATTATTTCAAAAAAATAATAAAAAATAATAAAAATAATAAATTATTTATTTAGTTCATTGGATTTTTAAACTATATTTTATCTAATATTACACGTCATAATAAAACGAGTTTGCTAAAATTATTAATATTCCTGATAGCGCAAAATTAAGAACAGCGAAAAGTTAAGAATAGAGAAATTCTCAAGCAATATTCTACGACGAATTAAGTTCCTATCGTCTGTTGCGACTTCACTTGACACGGTAAGAAACGGCAGATTAAACTGTACTTCAATTTTTTCAAAATTCTTCGAAGCATACCAATCATTAATCATAATGAACACAAATATCATTAAACGTAAATAAAATCAAAATCAAAAGATTTTGTATAACTTCCATATATATTTAAAAATTTTCATTTTTTATTCAAATTAGATAAGATCTTTTAACATATGAAATATATTATCATAAAAAAACTGAACGGTTTAGAAATTGGTTCACTCATATGATAATAAGTGTTGTCTCATAGAAATTTATCAAAAGTCACATAAGAAATAACAAGTTCAAGGTCAATATATATATAGTGTTTTAAATTTGCAACATCTTACCTTGACGGAAATGGTCGACAAGTGTATTTGCTGTTCTAGCGAGGCAGATCTCTAGTTTTTGATCATTTCTGGAGCAAGGCTCTAGAAATTCTAGGCCCCTATATCTTCCGATGGCATGGGCGCCGATCAGCAGCGAGCATGCATAGCACAGTAGTACGGTATTCCTCATGTCTAGCAAGTGGCTTTATTTTTTCTTTCCTTTCTTCGTTAAGATCAACTGGTACCTACCGAGGCACTCTACGGAACGATCAGGTTTCTCGACGAGAAATGATCGACTGGCAGGGATGTACCAAGCCTTATAGACCTTGACATTGCCCCCGCTATACTCGAAGACGAAGAAGAAGAAGAAGAAGAAGAGGATCGGACCTTAAGCGGGATATCGAGTCAGTGCGTACTCTTCAATGTCTTTTTAACTTGTACAATGTACAGGTGCAAAACAAATGGTATAATAATAAGAATGCGGGTATATTATACGGAGAGTGGCGTAAATCACAGTTTTTAAATCTTTAAAATTATGACAGAGAAAGAAATAAAATATCTTTCTCTACAATTTTTTATTATTTTAACCACATCTGGATTTTTGATTAAATCACGATGTATATTTTTATTTAAATAAATTTTAATTAAATCGATTTTTAATAGCGTAGGTCAAGGCATTGTCATTATAGATTTCGCCGATCAACTTTCCTAGGTGAAAGAAGCAAAAGAATAATAGAAGTAGCGTGAATTTCATGGAAGGTTCTTATAACTTTTACCAATATTAATTTTAAATTAACCGCAATAAACTATGCACTGTAAGAGTCCTCTAATAAGTGGTCCTGAAACTGATGAAGGAGACCAAGAAACCATTGATTAATTTATGCGCTTACTTTCCCAATAATTGCCGACATTTGTTTATAATTTTCTTCTTTTATCTGGTAATTTTAAAGTGGTACACGCTTAATGATTGGAAAGAGCATAGAAAAAGCGATTTTCTCCGCTTCTAATAATCAGCAAATCGGTTAGTTAGAAACAAAGTATAAAATATTACGTGCATTATAAATATTTAATACGATCTATTGATGCAACTGATTAGACTGTCGAATTATGCAATTTAAATATGTAAATGCATCGCAAATTTGGAAGTTAAATGGTAACAATTGAACGTGAGATGCGAAATTGTCGATAAAAATGGGTGATGAGTACGAGAAAAAGAAAGGATTCGATAGACGTCAGAATGGACGTCATGGAACAGTCAAAAGGAGAGTAGGAGAATGTTAAGCCCCGTTAATCACCTTGGTCACGTTCGTTTTAAGTCACGTTTCCGACTTGCTCACGCAAATGTTCGCGGAAGATCGCCGATCGCACTTCCTGCCTTCAAACGTGACGAAAAAATGAAATTGAAGATATAAATTAACCTCAAGAGAGCGAATCTTACAGCAAGTAACAATTTACAAATTTTATATTTTTATTTTATATTTTTACGAAGTTTTATAAAGCTTCTTAGAATTTGATTTATCCGGAATCCTACTAATTTGTTTAAATGGTAGACATGCAAGTCCCGGAAAGTTACAATTTCGAAAATTGAGAAATATAATAATATCCCGGAAAGTTAAAATCCCGAAATTTAAGAAGTGTGACAATGCTCCAAAAAATTATAATCCCGAAATTTTAGAAATGCGACAATGTCCCGAAAAGTCATATTATTACGGCTCGGGACCTATTGTCTCATTTCTAAGATTTCAGGATTATGAATTTTCAGAACATTGTCACGATTCTTAAATTTTGGGATTATGATTTTTCGGGATATTGCTGTAGTTTTCAATTTTTAAGACATTTTTTTCGAGATTTTGTATGTTCTCCGTGTAAATGACAATATAAATGATGTAACAAACTGATTTCAATAACACAAGCATCCAAAAATTTGCAGTCATTACGATATGGTTTCTAAAATCTGACAATATATTTTAACTCACACAACTTTTTTTTATTCTATTAGTTTTTATTGGTTAATGTCATTTTTAAGTAAAGACTATTTGTTGCACGTCATTGCTGTTATGCACAATATTAAATTTGATAATACATTTTAACTCACACAATTCCTTTATTTTTTATTTTTCAGATCATTATACTTTCTAATTATAGAATAAATTAAAATTATTTCAAGGTTTCTTTCGGAAACGTATCTTTCAGATTTATTTTAAGATTTCTCTGTTGCATATGATAAATAGATAGAAAAGGAAGGTCATGTATACTTGAGTTAAGATTCCATACTACTGCAGTCAGTCCGTTTATTTATTCATGCATAATGTATGCACGCGCATTCCGCATTTTTCTTTTACAAATATCGCAAATTTGGCTTTAAGTGATTTTAAGAGAAGCATTTATTAAAAATATTAAAATAATCAGAGTTGAATGAAACAGAAAATATATGATACACAAATTTGACCCGCTGATCAAAATTAATATTATCTGACAAAGATCCTACGACATTCTTTGGTTCAATCCTTTGTGACGTTTCCATGTGTATTGTAAAAACGTAAGTTCAAAGACCGCAGTATCCTCAAGGCGAGCAACTATTGAGACATAAAAAATCATTCTGGATACACAGAATTCTCTTTTAAAATTTATTCTGAAAATATGATAGTTGTGGTACATAATATTTTAAAGATTTTTACCATGCACTTCAGTAAAATTAATCAAACTTATTTTATACCTTATTGTAATTTTATTAATGAATAAGAGAGATTTACATTGAAATTCTTCGAAATACGATGTTGTCCCACGACTATCATATTTTCAGGATAAATTCTAAGAAAAAATTCTCTCCTTGTACCTATCATGGAACAAGTCGAAATGAATTTAGAATTATTCACTTATTCTCTAGATTTCTATTGTGTTTTCTAGGGAAAACGGAATAATTCCAATCGGAATTCATTCCGACATGTTCCATAATAGATACCCTGGATACCTATTATGAAACATGTCGGAATAAATTCCGATTGGAATTATTCCATTTTCTCTAGAAAACACAATAGAAATCTAGGGAATGATTGAATAATAAATTCCGATCGGAATCCATTTCGACTTGTTCCTTGATAAGTGCCCTGTTCTGCTACCAAAACGTTTGGCATTTTTTATAACAACCAACAAAAGAATGTGTGTCTATTTTTATCAATATTCATAAATTAATTTTGATCTTCAACTTTTTTTTACTCTTCATCTTTTTCTTGTTTCAAGAATTAGAAAAGAACAAAGAATAAGTTGAACTAAGATTAAAATTAATCTACATTGGTGAAAACGGTTAGTAATCATACACGACAGCATGCAGACAATATATTAAATAATTAATTTAATAAGATATACAGTCTTGGCCAACGCACAAAAGTATAAAACATCTTGAGTTTGTTACACTTTTTTAGAAAAGGCAGTAATAAAAAGTAAAGGAGAACTAATAAAATATTTATATATATAAATATTATAAAAATTGTTATAAGAATAAATATTAGTTTTAATAAAACTACTTTTTAATTTATTTTTTGTTAAACATAGAATGTTTATATCAATTTATAAAGGTGCTTTATATTGTAGCTATGAGACTAAGGCTGTATATTAATTCAAAATAAATAGCTACATAAATTATACTCGGTGATAATGCGACATGTAATAATACAAAGGTGTATATGTATATCGTAAAAAAAGAGAATATATTTATTTAACGTAGTATGCCACACGTATATCTTATGTGCTAATGTACGCAGTTTATATACACAACTTATTATGTAAATGTAACAAGAGTTGCAAAATTTACTCTAAAAATTTCGCTCTCTCGTAATAGTTTAACGGTTAGATTGCTTACGAACTGACAGATACACTTCTTATATTCACTTATTTTCTCATTAACAAATTTACTTTATACAATTCAAGCGTAATGTATCTCAAAGTTACAATCAATTTAATTTATAAACGGCTTTGATTTGAAAATTTGCTCAAAGGGAAAATCATGGAAGGCATTATCAAAAATCTCTGTGAAAGCAGTCGAAACGAGTTCATTGATCAGGCCCCTCGTTAGGACGAAACCCGGCTGCCACGTATTATTAATTATTTTATCGAGGATACTCTCAAGGAATCGTTTGCCAAATAGAAGATTTGAAATGTGAAGCTTCAAATCTTTGATAGATTGAACGTCCATTTGAGCCTTCAATCTTTGTTCCGGCAATTTGGTCACGGTGGTCATTTGTATTAGATCATCTGTAACGAAGAAATTATAAAATTATAAATAAATGATTTAAATATTTCTGTTTTTTTTTTCAGTTATATTTTACCATATCATTAATAATAAAAAAATCGTATTTCTTTATATTGGTGATCACTGAAATAGATTTCATAATCAAATACAAATTTGCACTTACATAAAGTGAGTGAGAATTTTCCTCTATTATTTATAGTGGAGCTGAAGAATGCGCCTTTAAACTCATAATCACCCGTCAACCTTTTCTCTGGGAAACTTTGCGTGTACACAATCTAATTGACGAAATGCTTTGTTTAGTTATAATTATATTTTGTCTCATTATTCTGATTTTACTTTTATCATTAAATAACATAAATTCAATGTATTCAGAAAATAATCATGCCATTAATTTTTAATATATCTTTTTATCTTAAATATGAGATACTATAAGATAACTAAATATGAAGTTGCTAATAATATATGAGGCAAAGCAGAATGTTGTGTTATTTTTTAAATTTTTTAGGGGAAAGAAAAAACTTATTTTCTTGAAAACCATCATTTTCTTTAAAATGTCTATAAAAAAATTATTGTAATAACTAGAGAAATTATATAAACAAAATCAGTCTCTCTCTCTCTCTCTCTCTGCAAAAAATTTTAATTAAATATAATTCTTTAAAAAATCGTGTTGAAGTTATTAAAATTTCAAAACATTCAAGTTGTAAGTCCAAATAAAATGCAAATTAAAACAGTGTAAAGTAAAGTAACAATGTAAGTCAAAATATTGTAAATTCAATTAAAATTACAAGCTAAAATGTTGTAAATCCAATTGCACAACGGATTTACCAAGGATTTCATGCATTTTAAACTATTTGGGGAGTACGCAGGGATTCATTTTTTTAAATTCAATTTTACTTCTTAAATTAAAAAATCGTGATTAAAATTGTCTTAGTATTCGGGAAATATTTTTTATCATATCTTGAGAGGAGAAAACTTCTACCTAAACTTCTATCTAAAACACTTTTTTGTATCATTAATCATTTCGGAGAAAATTGACTGTATTGGTTAAAAATGGACTACCCTGTGCAGTGCAAATAAAAGTCATGACGTTAATAATAATGTATTTCAATAAAAAAAATGATTTTTATAAAAAAATAAAGAGAAATTTACAGATATGGTTCAACAAAATGATAAAATCAACCGTTGCTTTCTTCTATTTAAGATGTGAAAAAAATATGTCCTGAATACAAGGATAATTTTAATCACAATTTTTTAATTCAGTAAGTAAAATTGAATAAGAAAAAAAGATGAATCCAACGATCCCTGCGTGCTCCCCAAATCGCCTAAAATGCATGAACTCCTTTTGAGCTGTAGTATCAATTTTTCTTCGCTTATAGCAGCGATTTCCATGACAAATATTAGTGTGTAATAAAACACAATACTTACAATCCATTCATACAATAAAGTGCATTTTCATAATTTTGGCATTTACCACGTTTTGCCATAGCACGTCTTGTATGTATAAAATAAGCAACAAATTATCCGATGGCATAAAATTGTATTCCAACTGAAGGCCTAATATATAATTTTTAATTATATCGATAGGCAGTGTATATATATGTACCTTGTAATTATTTAAGTCGGAAACAAATTTTGTCACTTTACTCAGGGACCACCCGCTCTCGGTGATATTTCGAAGAGTTAAAGTAAAACCAAAGTTCGGTACTCCTCTTGTGACTGTTACCTCTCTGGCAAAAAAGGGATCAAATGGGAGGATATTGTATTTCGGTAAACCGGTTTTGAAATAAGGTCGAATAGCATTCAATCCCTCTCTTATGCAGACGTCAAAACCTGATATGTTAGGATGACAGTTCTTAAAGTTGTCCTCTAAAAACATATAATTGACAATATATCTTAAATACATTCAAAAGAAATTCCGTAAGAATTGATATAATATCAGTTTGACTTCAGCAATGAAAACGTCCGCATTAATGAGGACTCAAGTTGAAACATTTGCAACTAATTTTATTGTAGTTTACTTTGTTGGGTAATTACATTTTAATTATGAATTATACCTTATCGTCTTATAAATATATAATTTACGCACTAACAATCGCGGAAACTTATATAGACATTTTTATTTGCATTGGATTGATACAATATATTAAAGCTAAAATCTTTTTTTAAATATATTTTACTACAAATGAAACAAAGTAGAATGTCACGTACAACTTAAAATTCAAATTGATGTTGACGATTAATTTAATTTTATGATATTACTTTTCGTCTTTAACTTATGATTGCATTCCAAATCCGATAGTATATCAGCGCGTAGTTTATGTAACTGAAAGATGTACTTAAAATTTATTATATTTAACGATTGGAAATACTAATAGGCACTTAAACTTAGTCTCGACCATATTTGACACTTCTTAACTTATTCGCGTTATTTATGTAACGCGGTTTAATTTATTACAATTCAAATTGCTTGTAATATTTATTTGTAGTATTACAAAAAGCTGAAATAAATTAGCGGATATGTGATATTTACATATTATCTTTACTTATTCGTGTTATTCACATAACGCGGTTTGACTTATTACAATTCAAATTACTTGTAATATTACAAAGAGCCGAATTAAATTAGTATTAATATGTGATACTTATACATTATTGTAAGAATACGTTTGAACATTGAATGTCAATATATTCGTATTAACATTGAATGCACATACGTAATTGTACATAATGTAACTTTCACTTCCAGGTATTCCGGTTTTGATAGCACTATACGTTCCTTGAGAACATCTCACTTGAACATTTCGCATTCTAGTACAAAAGAGGATATTACGTTATGTAATAAATTAACTAACAGACGAGACATACCAATCTCTTAGTCGGAAGGCGCAATTTAGCATACATTTCCACAATTTTGCATATTTTTCATGTTATTTTAAATGTTAATTAAGTTATATTGTTTTATATATTTTGTCTTTGTTTAATACTACTAAAGCACAATAATATATTTTTTTCCTGATTTATATATATATATAGCAATTTATAAAAGAAATTTCCTGTCTTTTTTCGCTTTCTTTACAAACTTAAAAGTATTGAAAAACTTTTATAATTTAGCTGGACTATTTTTATATGTACATTCATTTTTTGAAGATTTATTAAGCCTTGTGTCCACGATGCTAGAAATCGGTCCGAGACCTCGGATGAAGAAAGAATTGACCAATCGCAATGGTTATGTGATCAAATTGTTCAAATGTGATTTGTTAACTTTTTCTCTGTCCGAGATCTCGGACCGATTTTTAGCATCGTGGACACAAGGCTTTACACTGTAAAGAAAATTTGAATTTTATTTACATATATGCAAATATTATTTTAGCACAACATTGATAAAATCAAACTCTTGTAGGACTTCCTTCTAATTAAATCTTTCGCTTAAATTAGCATAAAATTCTCCATGATGCTTTTTATAACGAATAAATTATTTATATAGTTATATCTCTAAAATTCGTGTGTAATTGAAATGTGCAATGACGTAAGCATGGCATATAACTAAAAAATAAATTTATCATAAAAATAGAGCAGCAATAAAATTTAATAATTTTGATTTTCATTTTATATATTTTTTAATAAACGCTAATTTATGTAAACCTAATGATGTAATTAATCTTGCTTCAAAATAAAATTTAATATCAATCTTTTCGACTGCTTTGATTCTGCTTAAAAAATGCTCAGTTATAATTCTTAAAATATGTTCAGGAGCTCATGCGCTGTAAATAAAGACAGAATAAAGTTTGGACCGCGTGAAAGTCGAAAGTGAACGCACTCTTAGGGCCAGTTGTTCCATCTTTAAATAAATTATGTGGTAATTTACTTATTGAATAAACAAAAGAGTAAAAGAGTAAGAACATAAGACAGTAAGAGAGTAAGACGGTGAGCTGAAGTTTACCGAAAGATACAACCCAGCCATAATCTAATATGTGATATACAGGGTGTTCCGAAATTTTTGGCTAAGCGCTCTTGTGTAGATAGAGCGGAAAGTGCTCTAAATTGAGTCGAAAAGTCCTCTACCATTTTGCAATTTTCGTAATAGTTAACAAGATATTATAATTACTAAAAATTGCCGAATATGGTCTTCAATAATTTTGTTCTCAAATCAACTTTACAGAAAAATTACAAGAGACAAAAATTGTTTATTTTTTTCTTATAGAACTCTAAGAATATGTTTAGAATTTTTTATCAACTTTTTAGTACTGCTTTTCTTATTATAGGCAACTATTTTTACCAACATGAGAAAATACGGTATTAAAAAATTCTGAAAAAATTCTTTGAACTTTATGAGAAGAAAATAAACAATTTTTGTCTCTCACTGTTTTTCTGTAAAGTTGACAGTATTTGAGAAAAAATGATTAAAATCCAATATTCAGCGATTTTTAGTAATTAATATTTTGTTAATTATTGCAAATATTGCAAAATGGTAGAGGACTTTTCTCGACTCAGTTTAGTCCGCTCTATCTATACAAGAGCGCTGGGCAAAAAATTTAGGAATAGCCTGTATAAGTAGTTATGAGAGACTTGATAATCAAGAGAAATTTAAGAAGAAATTTGAGATGTTTTGTTTGGCTGTACAATATCAGCTAAAAGTATGAGACAAAAAATTAGCCAAGGAATTAGCCATAAAGCCAATATTGTTAAAAAATTTTATTGTAGATAAATACGCCTTGAAACCAATTGTAAAAAACAAGACAACAAATTATTTGGGTTTGAACGATTTCTACAGCACCAATTATCGTATTTTGATACAGTTTCAAGTAAATAAAAAAGAATCAAGTAAATAACTTATAAACGAGTTAATAGATCTAAATAAAATGAACTTTTGCACAAATATTTATTAGAATTTTAATAATATATATTTCCCAAAATTTGAGAGTAATATTATTGCAGTGTAAGACCGTAAAAAATTAAGTATCAATAAAAGTGTAAGTCATTTTTTTCCTTAAAGTAATTTTTCAAATATAAACGTTTAAAATTTGATTAATCATAAGCATTGAAAAGTTATCTCTCTCTGTATGATAGTGTACGAACTGCGACAATGTTTTGTTAGTATCTAATATTGTTACAGTACGTCACATGGATAGATGCATGTCACATAGATACATGACTTTTTAACCAACGCTTATGATTAGTCAAACGTTTATACCTAAAAAGCTTTACGGAAAAAATAGCTTACACTGTTATCATTTAATTTTTCATGAAGTTTCACGCTGCAATAATATTACCTCCGAATTTTGGGACACTCTTTATATATATATACATATATAATTTGATTTAATTTGTAATGTTCCTTCCCTATTTTTTAATTTGAAAACAAATATTATAAAATAAGTACTATTCGATTTTACATAACCTTTATTCTTATGTAAAATCAAGGCGAACAAAAAATTCAACAACTTTTAAATCAATAAGAAAATTCCGCTGTTAAAATTCAAATATTATTTAAAAATAATAAAACCTTCTATAACATTCTTATATTTTTTACAACCGAGTAAACACCAATTAAGATTAATATAACATCAATGTTATAATTTCACGCTCAATTACGTAAGTGTAATACAGCACATGTGTTACGTAACAGTTATATTAAGTGTAAAATTATAACATTGATATCATATTACTTTTAATTGGTGTTTACTGAGAATATATTTTGAGTAGTGACGTACGTCCTTATTAAGAAGTATTACAATCTTATTTGATGATCATTTTTTTCGAAGTATCATATCAAATATTTGGTGAATTTGTTTAACTTATGTTATGAATCTGTTAATTTCGTTATAAATTCAGTGTTTTTCTTATATTTACAATACTAAGCATTTAAATTACCGGCTTGGGAGTTTATTACACGTGCGGTCATCGAAATCTACTGGCAGTACGTGCGAAATCTACTTACCGAAATCTGAAGCAACTGAAGCGTGCAATAGTAGCACAAGCAAAAAAACTTTTAACTGCATCTCTTCGTTCTCTCTTTCTCCCTTACTATTCCCTTTTTGTTCGATAAACCTGAAGCACGCAAAAGAACACTTCTATACTTATCGATACTCACGAACGATAGGGACAGAAATTCAGTCGCAGTATTACGCGGACGAGGTGCGCGTACCATACACTTTCACTGTTTACGATACATCTGAGAGAACGGTTAGCGAACTGTTTCCGAGTAACGAAAATTTGGTGTAGATTATGTAATTTTATTGCGAAAACTTGAAGAGAAGGGTGATGTATTCGAGTGGGAGCGAGAAATATCGTTAAAGATTTTTTTTTCTTTTGTATTTGGACCAGTTCTTCATTTAACGACATAAGAGAGAAAACGTATGTTGTCCAGTAAATTACCTAACATTACATCGTACGGTTAAAAGCGAAATCGTTCGCAGATGCTTATGGAATAGTACCTACAGTAAAGTACTTTGATACATACAAGGCTGTGGGCATTTATTTAAAATATTTTTATTTAAAACGCAATATTTAAAACGTAAATGTATTTTGTATTATGTATTTCAGTGGAGCACATGAAAATATTATCTATATATATTTTGTATTTAAAATTGAAAGATTAAAATTTTTTTGTAATTTGTAATTCAAATAATATTGATTATCAATCTTGGTAATCAAAATACAAAATACAAAATTCTTTCAATTTTTCGATATTAATTCTGAAATACGAAATACAATTATCTTACAAATACTATTAGTATAATAAAAGTATTTCAAATACATGCCCAGTCCTGGATGTACGTAATATTGCACTCAAAATGTATTGTTATGCTATAATTAAAATTTATATTTTCTAAATATTGCCTGTTTTCTATAAACTTTCGTATATCTAATCCGTAGAGATCTACAAAGTACTTACATATGAATTAAATATAAAAATATTTATTTACAACGGAGAATTGTTTGCATATTTTTTAAATTTATTATTTGTATGTTAAGATTAGTATACATATATGATCCAGATTGGTTATGATATTCAGGTACACGGTCTATTAATTTTCTGGATTATATTGCAAACTGCGTCTTTTCATATTCGAGATTAAAATAATATATTTTATTAATTTTGCGTTATTTGTATAATTACATAAGTAAATTAAATTTCATATTTCAAAAATTTAATACACAAAAAATATAAGTATTGATAAGTTTATCGATTTTAATAAAGAAAGACTAATAATAATTTTTTTCAGTGTAAATATATTATTTTTTTGCTGTAAAAAACATTCTTCTTATACTGAAAATTTTGGAGTATAATTTTTTTAAATATATGTGATTTCGAAGCACATAAAAATAACATATATTTTTCTATATAAATTGTATTTATATAAAAAATATGTATATATTCTTTATATAAATACAATTTATATAGAAAAATATATGTTATTTTTATGTGCTTCGCAATCACATATATTAAAAAATTATACTCCAAAATTTTCAGTATATATATATGTATATATATAACAATTGAAATTTTAATAAATTCCTGTGCATTACGTTTGCAATAAATTTTATATGTATATAATTTCCCGTTATACAGTGCGAGTGTTCGAATCTAAATTAATTTATACATTTAAACTTTATAATTCACTATTAAGATGCAGATAGTTTAACTAGCCGAATCTAAAATACTTTACATGTATAAATACGTAATGATTTTAAATAATTTGCATTTTAAGTTCTTCGAATATTTATAACTTCAATTATTTGCTTACTTACTTAATCTTTTGATATGAATCAGAAAATATTGAAGATATCATCTCAGCAAGACGAGACATGAAATTTGACTATCATTCTGAGACGATTTGTTCAGCTTTATATATGATCTGTTTTCTGTTCCTGCACTAAATTGTTCTAGAACTCCCTTTCTCGCTTAAAACAAATATCAAACGTATATCTATTAACTCACTTTAAGTTCCAAAAGTACACACTAGTTCAGCCATAAAAAACAGACCTACAATAAAAAGGAATGAGACAAAATACAAAAACACAAAAAAAAACTCAGACTGAAAAAATAAGAAAGAAGAGAAATACTAGTTTCGACGGATCCATGGGCGCCGAATTATTACAGAATTATTTGCAGGAAGGTACACCCAAAAGAATTCAGATTCGAAACAAATTTGGACAGCAACCAAGACGATTCAAGTTTTTGTTCCAACATTGATTTTTCTAAAATTACACAAAATAGACCTTATAATTATCAATCTTCTAAAATTGATTTTCCAAAATTTTATTATACAAGTGTTAATCAAAATTAATGCATTTAGTTCCTGTTTAATTTAAAAAAATTCTTTTCCATATTTTGTGCAACTTCTTTATTTCCTGTGGATTTTCTATTCCTTATTTATTTCCCCTCCCCCCCTCCCTCTTGCATTCCCCTTGCGGCGTCCATGAAAGATCCATGAAAGAATCGTTGCTTTTTATTAATTACAAATTTCTTTCAAAAAGACGGTACTTTATACGAGTCGACTATGCAAATAAACAGATGGCATAAAGAGATTTTAAAAAGATCTTTCCAAACTCAGTAAAAGGGAAATAAGCGCTTTTTTTTCCATAAACAATCACTGACAAGCTGCTAACAAGTTCTTGATTACAGCAGGGAACATTAGTAAAAATGTGTTGAAATAAATATTCGGGGAATGAGCTCAGATATAAATCATATGTATTTAAAAAGAATTCTGAGTAGTTTATTTTATATTTAGAATAATTCTTAATAAATTTAGTTCTTAAGATTTATTGCATTCTTCACTTTTATGTATAATATTTTTACACGCACACATGAATATAAAGAAAGGAAGTTTACTTATAGTCAAGCATTATACATAGCCTTCTTAAATTAATTTTTAAATGCTCTATGAATTATTTATTTTACTGATTACGAAGCATTTAAAGAAGCCTTAAATATATGTCCAATCTGATTATGAATAAGGGCAAAAAGTAAAAATAATATATTTGTTAGAGTATTTAGAAGCACATGTACAAATAGAGGAAAGGGATAATTATACGCATTTTGGTTTAGCCCTTTTCCAATAAATGAAGTCGTTACTGCGATGAAATTTTTAGACTAAATGTAATTAATGCCAAAAGTAAGAAAAGTCGAGAAACCATTATTCAATTTGTGTAAAAAAATTAATTTTTAGCCAAAATTAATTCCTTTAAATCCCACTCAATTCCGTGCTTGTTCCATTCCATTTTATTTACTAGGATACGAGCAATAAATCATACAAAATTTCAATAGTATTCTTGTAATATTTTCATAATGACACTTCAGTTATATTCTTGCAAGGTTCACGTTACATGCGCTCAAAATTCACGTAACCTGCGCACAAGATTCATGTAACATGCGTATAAGAGGTATGTAACATGCTTATAAAATTTATGTAACATAGGTGTGTCACTTGTACAATTTAGCACTGGTGCTAATGTTGTGCCGCTGTACAGCACGGTCCGAGATCCACACAGGACTCGAGGAGGGATTTCACAAAAATATGTAGCACTTTATAAAATTTAAGAAATATATGCTATCTTTATTTTCACACTTCACATGGAGTATTCATTTACAATCACCATGCACTATTCGGTATTCGCATCGCGATATAAGTATTATAATGATTCGGACGGCGCGACGCGAAGAGTTACGTTTATTATGCGGGGTCTACAATAGAAGTCGTAGCGGTCGTAGAGTCTTAAGTCGTAGAAAATTAACCAATCACAATAGAATATGAGAAGAATAATCGACTATGACTGGTCAATTTTCTACGACTTAAGACTCTACGACTGCTACGACTTCTATTGTAGACCCCGCTTTAATCTGATCGATTTTCTGACCGCCGACCGCAGATGGGGTCGCGCTTATATTTGATATTTTGGGGTTCAACTTTGGACCGTCCGCGTTGATCCGTCAGTGTTCCGCTTATCGGACGAGGCCAGTATTCGCGCAACATCTGAGTCTGCATTTCTCAGGGTCTTCTTTTATATTAATTGATACTGTTTTCTTTATTTTAAATAATATGATTTCGTAAATTGTTAGAGTATCATTTTGGTACGTTTCATGGCGCAATTGTCACTTGTGCAATTTAGCACTCATGACATTCCTTCCCCCTTGGGAAAGGAAATGAGGTTACAAGTTTCCGTAATGGTTGTCATACATGTTTTTCTCGGTTTACATTTATTTTTATAATCATTTCTTATACTAGAACGTATTCAATATAATATAATATAATTAATATAATAGCATTATCGCCTACAGTGAAAGTTTCCTTCTTCACTGATTTATCGTAGTATCGTTTAGCTCTGATTTTTTCCTCTTGGACGTATTCTCGAACTATCTGGTTAGTGGCGCGTATCGTAAAGTTTGTGTAAAGCACTTTATTATAAATTCTTTACGAACTTTTCCTGAATAAGTAGTATGCCACCTGAGAATGGATGCTTAAAAAATTCTCTTATAAATTTTGTACATTTCTTTCACAAATATCATTATACAGTTCATCAGATAAGTAATAGGAGCCAGACATCTTGGTGTTAAATTTGTGACATCATATGGATATATTGCGAACTGTACTTATATTTTATCAGAGATTTTCCGTTTACTGAGTTTATTAAATATTCACTTAAATTTAGTTTGTGTTATTAATTTTGTGTACGCAAGTAACTACGAATAATTTTACGAATATTTTAAATCATGATATTATAACATCTTTGAATTAAATATTATAAATAAAAATTATTTGGAAATATATATATATATATATATTAAATTTAATATATATATATATATTAAATTAAAAATTATGCACATTTTATTGAGAATTACGTAATTTTATTATCATACATTCTATCCTACATGTTACTGTAAACATGTATTATAAATGAACTCCTGCGTGTAGATGACCATAATGCACTCGTGTTTCACAGGTAGCATTATAGCTATTCAGCCAAGGATTAACAGATACCGCTTTTTTCATCAGAGTTTAATAGAAAATTTAATTTAAGAAAAATTTTTCAAATTTTTACAAATAGTATTTAATACATACAAAATAGTTTTATATGCAATAGTATTTAATTACACACAAATAATTTTATTTCTAAATATTATATGTATTAATGAATACGTATATGTATATACTTTTAATCTTTAGTAAATTGTAAAATTATAACTTTAAATTATATTACAACATATGTATATAATATAAAATATATGTATATATATTTTATATTATACTGATATTTATTAATATTTTTGTGTATGTTCCCAAATAGCAAGCTGTCGTTATTTTGACATTGATAGTTAGTCATTTTAAATTATTTATGTCATGTGACCTATTTAAGATGTAATAACGTCATTTATTTATGACATCTTTACAATACTTAATGACGTCGAATATTTATTCCAATTGTCGACGTTCTAGTAGTATTATTAGTGATTAATTAATAATGTCACACATTTATTCCGTTAATAACACAAAAATAATGATGTATTATCGTCCTTGAGACCGAGCATTGCACGCTACGACAAAACAGCAATGAAGTGAGGAGTACGAATGGTAAAATAGGTGTGAATATCGGCACATTTCAATTTTAAGATGAAATCCAAAAAAATACCGACTTTGAATAGCTCTGATGTACATTAATATTACTATTAATAAATAAATTCTGGCACATATATAAAATCTTGAAAATTTTATTATATTAATTAACTCTTGAATTAACTCTTGATAATTTGGCAAACAGGAAAAATTAATAAAAATGAGAAAACAAAATTTTTTTTAATTTAACTTCTTTGGAATATCGTCTTTAAAATTTATCTTAGCATCGTGTGTTTTAATGTTAAGAAGCTTTTTTGATAAGAATTATAAAAAATTAAAAATTTTCAATATGTACTGTCTAATATTATTAGAGAATATTGGTGTACATTATAAATGTCTATAATGATAGATCGTAAATCATGAAATGCATGTTCATTCTACCGAAATCTCATTGCATAATGCAACAGCTTAATTGCAGTCGAATGCAAATGACGTTACATCATACAGAGTACGTTCTTACAGCGTTGCATCTACGATTGCACTTTATCAACAGGATCTATTGCGTTAATGTTTACATTGAATATAAGATCATCGTCTTACTTCATAATTTATCTTCGCAGTTTTATTGTTTTATATAAAAAAAACCAACCATTACCTATATATTTACTCAAAATAAAACATTCATTCGAAAAATTACATAATGTAAGAGAATCGCAAAGTAACCATTTTATTTTATTGTCGCGAAAAATTTTGCCTTCTTTGACAAGAGCGATCGACCGCTACGTTTATATTTAAAAAATCTATTTTAATTTGTTAACATCAATTTGTAGATACAATATTTACTTTACTTTCGTCATAATCAAATCGCCATTGGAAATTTCTCATTATAACGTGCGATGATCTATATAATTTATACACAACACAGACAACATATTTTCTAGGTAAGGCACTTTCGTCCAGCTGTCTCCACAATCTGAGCAGGACTCGTCTGCTGTTGCAGACGATGAAGACAGAAGAAGGCGCAGGTGCATACATGTTATAGCAGTGAAAGTATCTGCGAGTGCAGCTACGATCTGCTGCCTGTCAATGCCCTCTCTTGCATAGTCAGTCTTATTCTAACGGCGCCGTTTATCGCGCGATTCGAGTCCACAGTCGAATTCGTAGCCAGTGATTTTTGATTGCAATAAGATCTTAGTGTCTAACATCAACAAAAGATTGAAGCCGCAACGGTGAATATAAATAAGTCCCAATAATCGAAACTTTCGTGAAACTTTCGTCTTCGTTGTTACGACTGCCTTAAAAAATTATGAACAAGAGGCTGTGGGCCATCCTTCTCGTCGTCGGCTGTACGACAACTCTCTCCTCCGATACAAGCCGTGAGTAATCAAAACATTTTCCATAAATTTAACGTTACCATCTTGAATATCTTCACCGCTGAATATTCATACAGTTATAATCACATTTGAATTGAAATAAACAAGAACAACTAGTTTAATTATAATAAATAAAAGGCATATAATAATTTGCAATTAATTATTGCTAAAAAATTCGATTGTGCCATTTTACTTGACATAATCAGATTTTTTTCGAAGTAGACGTAACATATTTATAAAAAAAACTCGAAAATAGGACAATTTATGATTTTAAAAAATTTTGAAAGCATCTAATTGTTTTATATACTAAAATACTTTTTTGTAATGACGATAAATTTTCTAACTCAATTTACGTGTAATTTTCTATGCAACATGCAACAGCACCGCACTGTCGCAAAGGCCGGATCTCCATTTCCGCAGAAATATTATGTTGTAATCAAATATTTCAATATTTTCAGACGTAAAGCATAAATGTAAAACTTCTGTCGTTTTTTTTAAATTCATATAAGGAGAGTCAATAAGTCTGTAATCTATTTAAAATTAGTCTATTTAAAATTATTGTCAAATATTTACGATATAAAGAATAGAATACAGCACCCCGAAAAAGATACAGATTCAAATAAGTAGAACATATTGTTTCTAATGGATATTTGAATGTTTATGTGTACCTGTATATGTGTACTGATCTAATTATGCAATGTATTTATTGTACATCGTACTAATCATTTCCCGACATGATTTTGCAAAGCATTAGGAAAAAACGTCAGAAAGACTCTTAACATAAGTAACCTCTAGCAGCTGTACCAATCTACTTATTCTTGAAGGTGTATTTTCGCCATGAGATAGAACTTTCACTTTTAACATGACTAGAGATTAACACGCTTTTTACTCATTGACGCTTTTACTTATACGACCTAGAACATCAAATTTCTCTTGCTATATTAAGAATATGAAAAAGAAGTAAAATTTAAAAAATGTAATTATCACATCTTCGGAACAATACAATATACATAACTGAATAATATACCTTAAAGTAATATATATTCAATATATGTATAATAACATTCTACTCCTAGCCGAATATGTGAAACAATGTTCCAAAAGCGATCCAAAGCTGACAAATTGTCTGATCGACGCTCTACATCATCTGCGATCTTATTTGAAAGTCGGAATCTCCGAAATTGAGTTACCCTCGGTAGAACCGTTCCGTGTAAGTTTAATTAATGTGTCCTAAATTGGATATATATTATAAACAATATTAAAGTCAGTTGTATTTAATTATGATTTATATCAATAGATTTCTTTCAAGAAAAAGCATTTCAAATAAAAAATGTCTCATACTTATAATGCAACATAAGAAAAATAGCTATACTTACGTGTGTGTATTTGTACGTTTTCATCTCTTAATCACTTTTTATTTATTTGTTTCTATTAATAATAGATGTATACATATTTGTTTTACTTTAGAAGTTTTAAAATTTGTTACACACTAAAAAAAATAATAATTAATTATAATTGAGATAATTAATAAAAATTGTAAAGTTATAACATGTTGCTCTTACACTTTGACAAGCATCCGCCAATCTCGCATGTTTAAAGTCTAATATACTGAAACTCAAAATTTAATATGTTAAAAATTTAATATACTGTATGTATTGATGTCTAATAATATATAACGGAAGATTCATTATTTGTGCCATTTTACATTTACTATTTTATATGTTTATTTATATATATATATTTTACATATTCCGTCTATTTCAATAGATGGACGAACTGACTCTCTCCCTGACAGGTGGTACGAACGGTTATAAGATTCAGCTACGAGACCTTTTTATAAGGGGAGCGAGTAACTACACTGTGGAAGATATCAAGCTGGGTTCACCTTTCCAAGCCATTGTTCGAATGCCGGCCCTTATATTAGATGCGCATTATTCCAGGTAAATTCTGTATCTATGTATTTTTTAAATATGATCTCGTATATATAAAGAAAAATTACATTTATTTTGGAAAACTATGTAATATTCCATTTTATTTTATAAGTCGTAAAAATTGTAGTTCGAGAATAAGTTGTAAAAGGTATATAATTTAATAATTATATTTTTTTACATTTAAGCGATAGAATTGCTGTTTCATCAAATTTAATTTTTACAGTTCTGGTGTATTAATAATTTTGCCTGCAAGTGGAAACGGTACATTCCACGCGCGTTTCGGAGATGCTAAAATACTAGTCAGAGGAACAATCTCTACAAAGTCGCGAGAAAACAAGACATATTTAAATGTCGATAATCTCGACGTTGTGCTCGTAGTGAAAAATTTGCAAATGCGAGTCAGCAAGATTTTCAACAACAATCGAATACTTAGTAAGCAAATCACACAATACATCTAATAATATAAGAATGATTATAGTTAAAGTCGTTAATTTTTACGAACAATTCATTTTTATCATTAAATTATTTTTTAATTTTTAGCCGAGGCAATCAATCTCTTCCTTCGAGAAAATGGACAAGAAGTGTTGAAATTAATGGAACCGCAACTAAAAAAGAAGTTATCGGCACTCTTTGCTGGCATTGTTAACCAGCTGTTGCGACATGTACCAGTGGAATCGTTCCTTATACCTTAGGACACTATTAACATTATATTAGTTACTATTACTTCTTGTTATTGAAAAATCAATGATATATTTTAAATATGCACGAATACTAAATAATGCATTATAGCATAAAAAAGACATCTTATCAAGTATTTTTTTTTAATTAAAAAGAGGAAAACAATATGTAGACGCGCATTTAAGTTGCTTCGTTCGTTTACTTGTGAAAACAAAACATTATTTGTGTGATCCTTTAATCAGAGATTGAACAAATAGTTTAAAGAAAACATACAATTGCATTCAAAGATAAATAGATATTTTTCGTTGATATTGATCTAGAAAAAAAATATATGTTGATAATAAACGTGATTGTTGCTTATAGTAAAACAGAGGTATATAAATCGTTATCAATATTAAGTTTTAAATGTGGTTATAGTTTTAGCGCACAATGGAATTAATGGTAAATATTGATAGAGTAAAACAAGTGTACTTTTTATCATATAAATATATATGATAAAAATGAATTATTTTAATTTGTTTATATTCATTAATTTTACATATAAGTTAATACCTATTACGTTTTGCGTAATATTAATAAGTTGATTGAACACGATAGATTAACAATAATGTAAAAAAAATTTTCAAGAGAATTGATAATTATCGGAAAAATCATTAAATTTATATATATGTTTGATACTCTTCATATTATTCTTGATATTTATTATGTCTGTGCTTTACATAAACAATCGCTAGTGAAGATAGCAGTAACATAATAATAGTAACAATGCTAAGAATAATCTAAGTTTACACGTTACATAATTATGCAATAAACTCGCCATTGTCGCACTATTCACACGCATGTCGATTCCGTGCAAATCTAAATAACACTATCAGAAGTACGGACGATGAAAAGAAAAGAACTTATCACTTCGGGATGTTCACAGACTTCAGATAGAGGAATTTTGCGTTCCTCTGCGCCGGTTTTGAGCAGTCCGTGAAATATTTAAGACTCCAAATTCGGCGCTACTTCGATTATACACACTACACTATGTACGTGTCCTAGCAAGAAGAAAACATCCTCAAGGGCTTCAAGGGAACGTCTTCGAGAAAGATATCTTCGAGAATATGCGGTTGCTGAGTTCAGTAAGACGTTCATCCCAGTTCTTCGCGAGGAATGGTAGCATCGAACGATACAAGGTCGGCCAATATTCGTTTACGAATTTCATTGCGGCATTATCTGAAAGTGAAAATACGTAATAACTTATGTGACGGGTGTGACGATTACACCATGAATTATGTCGGCGTATAAAAAAGCAAATTAATTGAATTCGTAATCATTATGTAACGAATTACGGCATCAGAGTTTCTCATCGAGCAATTATCAACGAATTACTGAAGTGATATAACAAGACAATTAAGGATAATGATAAACAGGTAATTATAGCAATAAGAATGAAAAAACAATGTCTTGCTTCTAATGTCTCCTTTTTGACATAACTCGTAACTTACCAATAAAAATCAGTTTCTATTCATAGAAATATGAAAACTAGGTAAACGTAAATCCGTTCTTAGCTATATCTCAGGTAGCACCTATTGGATCATATACGTTTTACGGACGTTTCTTAGCCGTATCTAATGTTCTACAAGCGTTTAGGAAACGCATATAAAATCAACATGTGCTACTGAGGTAAAGAATATGTCGAAGAAATAGTTTACTTACTGAGTTCCTCGTTACCATTGAACATATCACTGAACCAAACCTGCATCTTTCCAACTTCCGGATTTAAATGGAAATGTTCGAGCGTCCATCTATCGTTAGCGACGGGTCCTTCCATTATCCAAGTGCATTTAATGTCTTCCATGCTAATGTTAAAGAATCCTGCCGCAATAGAAATTAAGTTATATTATACATCTTTTATGTAGAGTAATTAATAAGAATATCTTAATTCATTGTTTATAAAATATAAATTAATAAATTTGGAAAACATATTACAGATAAATATATTACATATAGCTAAAATCAGAATATATACATGCTTTTAAAAATAAAATAAATAAACAATTTAACTCTACTATGGTTCATAAAATTATCTATTATTAGATAAAAAAATATAAAAGTGGAAAATTAAATAATAATGAGCGTTTGTGCTATTGTTCAGTGTTTAAAGTAAATGCATATAATATCTTCTTTTGTATTTTCAATATTTTTAAAATAAATTTTATAATACTTTGTATATACATACATTTAAAATATTGTCAATATTAAAAGTAATTAATTTTCATACCTTCGCCACCAATTTGGAACGTTCCCAGGGATCCATCCGCCTTATAATTTCCCTCGATGAGTACCTTTGGCAAATCGACATCAAGCTCTAATTTAAAGTAGTTATCGGAATGCTGTGGTCTCACGGCCAAGAACTGAGCCTTCGCAAGTCCATAGGAATTAACATTTGTGACTGTTATGTCCGCGCGCATGTCGTTAGTTTCGTACACAGTTCTTTCCTGGTCGGTAAAGTACGGATCCAAAACTGGCACATCGAGTTTCGGGATACCTACCGGAAAAAATTAAAACTTGTGCAAGGATATAACATATTAATATAAATTAAATAATGACAAATCTGTCTATGTTCATGCATATATTATATTTATACAACAATAAATATAATAAAAACTTGACAATTTCGAGCAAATCAAACAGAAATATTACCAGTGCTTCATTTTTAATACCTGGGACGAAGTTCTGCCATGATTCTTGTATCGCAAGTCTCAAGCAAGACGAATAGTCATCTGCATCACGCTTACAGGTTTGTACAGCTGTTTAAAAAATATAAAATAATGTATATTAATAATAACAGCACATTAATTATTTAAGTTATTACTGCACTAAGTTGCGATAAAAATAGTAAAATTTTTTAATTTTAAACAATAATGATGTTAATTCCCGAAATAAATAAATTATAATTTAGTAACAAATTAATGGCTATTGGGAATTAGCGCTATACAAAGTGCGCGATAAATATCAATGTCAATACTATATCATATATCTGACTTTTAGTTAATAAAAAGTCAGATATATGACATAGTATTGACATTGATATCTATCACGCACTTTGTACAGCGCTAATTCCCAATAGCCGTTAATTTGTTACTAGATTATAATTTTTTTAATTTCAGTCTTTTAATTAACATTACTCAAATATTGTTTATTTCTGTTCATTACCTTTGATGTTAATTATTTCAATATTAAAAATTTAATTCTAAAAAATATTTAATTGAAATATATTTACGTAAGTCAACTGTAATAGGTTCTTGCGCAAACAATTCTATATACAAGTTCCGAACTTATTGCGGTTAATATTAAAGAAACCTCTTTCCTTTCTCCGATGAAACCAACCAGAAAATATATTAATCAATTGCATATCAATTTTCGCAAAACGTGTAGTTCGTCAAAAAACAGAAACATTGCTATTGAAATTATCATAATTATAGTACTTAAAACGTGTGAAGAACGAAAAGTATATAATTAACCATTTAAAATTGTGCAATTATTATCTATTCAACCGCGCGTAAGTTTCAGCACATACAAATTATATTCAGAACTGGGAGTCACTTAATTGTAGATATATTATACACAAGTTTGTATTCAAAATATTACAGAATACTTTAATAAACAATTTTTGAAAGTATATAGAAATCAATAAAAAAAGAAAAAGTTTATGTAGAAAGTCATTTTTTTTCTCAAGACGTAATAGTTAAAAAGTTGTCATTATCGCATTGCAGATTGGTTAAAAATTATTTAGAGCAAAACTAATAGTTGTAAATTAAAAAAAATTGTCAAAATTTTAAAAAATATCAGAACGAAAAAAAGAGAAATGTTAAAAATAATAAATAATCTGTTTTTAAAAAATAATATACAAAGATTTATTAAACCCTACACCGAATATTTATTAAACCCTATACATCGCAACGTAACATTTATTTTTTTTTTATCAACTTATGTTTATATACAGCTTTTCTTTTTGGTTTCCATTATACAATTAGTTCATTAAAAAAGTTTTGTTAAAATACTTTTTTATTCACTCACGCTCTAATTTTATTTATTTTATGAGATAATGTACAGTTTTGTTTGTCATTTTAATTTCTTCAAACCAGTTAGTTCTGTATGGAGAAAGCGAAAGTAGAGTCTGAGTCATAATTAAAATGTATTAATAAATACAATTCGATTACATATTTTATTTATTCAACAAGTATAGAATAAATTATAATTTACGTAATTAATTGTAATTCTTTATTTTAATAGTTAAAAAATGATATCAGTTGTAATTATACGTATACTGAGATATATTGAATAAATTCTTGCTCAAAAGAGAATTAAAAAATGAGATAGTTAAATTTAATTTTATGAAAATAACCTTTAAATTCGGTAAAAATGAAATCGATAATTGAACAAAGGACTTACGAAGTTCGAAATCCTGAGCCGCGGTGAGCACAAACGCGGTAGCGCAGAATAGGGCGAGCGCGTAGAACGACATCTTGCCTGGTTAAAAATCCTGGCAGCTAGCCTGGCCAATTATAAACACTCGGTTTATATAGTTTCCCGACCCAAGGACTCGGCAAAGATACATTGCAAAATTGCATGTCATTAAACACGTGAGAGGCGAGGAGCAACAGCGGCACTTGGTCAGCGGTAAACTAAAACACGGCTGCGATAGCTCCGGAAAATGTGCTTCTCTTTGGCTTCAGGCATCTTTGATAAGAGGTGCAGAAAACGAAGGGAGTGGCTAAACATGTTGTGTGTGGACTTGAAAATAGTTTATAAAATTTTATATATTTAAAAAAATTATACTCAGAAAAGATTACTCGCGTTTCAAATTTTTTTTATCTTATATTATTAATATTATTTCTGCACTAATATACTTACTTAAAAATAAATTTACATTTCAATCGCTAAAAAATTTTAAGAAGATCAATTTAAATAAAAGAGAAAAAGAAAAAGAAAAGAAAAAGGCCAAGGTAAATAGAAAATGTTACTGTTCTAAGAACGAAGAAGAAATATACATTACTTTGAAATAAAAAAGAATAGAAAATTTCTTGAGACAGAAATCACGTAACAGATGTGTTCATTAAGAATGAGAAATAAATAAAAATTATTCTGACGACTAAGACTATTCTTTTTATTCTCTTCTTTTCGGTTTTTCTCTTTGTCACAACATCGGCATTTTGGGCTCGGTGCAATTAAGATGCGATCATCACATTGTTGCATTTTATGAGGCAATTTAAATTCCAAGAACTATGTAAGCATAATCAAATGGTGTAACTGATGTGTAAGTATAATCAAAGTACTGTATTAAAAAACGATTACTACTACGAATAATAAATTCGTAATAGTCATCAAAGCTTTGTAATTGATTTATTATATATACTTCCGAAATTTACGTTATCCGACATTTATTTACATTAGCAAAGAGAACTATTGCGTGTTGATATAACAATGAGAAAAAATTCGATTTGTACATAAGTATGATCAAATAAGTTCGATCAAGAAATACTTTAGAATTTAAGAAGAGCTAACTTCCTTGGGGATCTCCGAGCGAATAGACTTCCGTGACCTTGTGACCTTCGCAATGCAGACAATCGGCGATCGGTGATCGCAGAAGTGAGACTTGTAGGTCTGATCGCGTCATACCTCACGTTTCATCTAACCACGATGAAAATTCAGATCATGAATGCGCGAAGTAGCTACCCTTGGAACAGATCTCGTCGACTAGAAACGAGTTTCTCTAAGGACGTACGCGGGAGGAAGTAAGAGGAAAAAATGGAGATGCCGAAGGAACGATGCCACTCTCGACGAGAATCCACTGTGACGAGTGTGACATAGACGTACGGCCAGCATATGCCGATATGTCAGTACGTTGAATGCGAAGGCCGGTATATGGATCAGCAATTACCTGTCACATGGATAACTATGAATGGTGCCTGAGCTTTAGTCCTTTCTCATTAAGTGCCCCACCTCGCACAGTCCTAGAATCTCCTCACTGAATGGCAATCACGTTTTCATTTTACTTTCAAGTACAAGACAATGCGACTCATTTGTATTTACGGTGTAGTGCTATCAGTACTAACAAAAAAAATCTAATAGTTATCATCAGTACTAATCACTGTAATATTTATGTTGAAAATTCATTCACGCAGAATCACAAATATGACCGAATACATATTACCCATATATTATTAAAATAATCTGGCAAATATTTGAAATACTCGGGTAATATTCGAGATACGCAGGTATCTCGAAAATATTGTGACAGTATTCATTACTACACTTGTCTAATTATATATTATTGCAGATAATTAAAGAAAATAATAAGAACTCAATAAAATAATCTTCCTCCAACATGCTTGCATAAAATTTTAATTTATACAATGAATAATAATAAGTGTATATAAATTTTTATTTATGTACTTAATAAAATTAAGTAAAACTATATAAATTTTAATTTATATAGCTATTACATTAACTTTCCTATTACATTCATTTTTCAATTTAAGTGTACTGTAGAGATTTAGCCAGTGACTATCATGTCGTAATTATTTTATGTATTTTTTCACCTATACGAGAGAATAATGAATAAATTTATCTAATGAAACTTATATATTTGAATAGAAATTAGCTAATTATGTTCTCGACGATAAAGTATAAAATAAAAAATTAAAAAATGTTTTGTTATTATTCGTATTTTTAATTATATAAGGGAATTAATCAAATAGATGATTATGACATAATATCCTTGTATCGTGAAGTTCTCTTGAATTAGCTGAGTTAAGTATAAGTTCTTATTCTTGACTATTTGTGTTTTTTATTTCATTGTCATACAGAGGTGGACACACGGAGGACGGCTTAGTATTTAAAGAAACGTAGGCTGCACTTACTAGTCTCTTCTGACAAACACTTGCTGTGTAACAGTGTTGCGTGTGACATCTGTTATAATGAGGCGTGTAGATAATGAAGGAGCGCATTAGAAATTAGATAGTGTTTAGGTTTCGTAACTGCTTAATGTTCTATCCGTGTTGGTTTTATAAACAATAATAATGCATAATGGATAATAATACAGCTCGCCGATTTTTATCCGAACAATAAGAAAAGTAATAATATCCATAGATTTAAAAAAATAGAAATATTATAGAATATAATTTATGTGTATGGAAGCTATGTGAGATTTGCGGATTATCTCTGTGTTTTGGTACATCGTTAAATGCCAAAAAAATGTTTTATGAACATTGTAATCAATTTCATCGTGGTGTAATAAGACAGGTGACGCATTGCGCTGATTGCGCATGATGGCGAGAGCATACTGGAAACAACCAATCAAATTTGGATCCAAGTACACTTTTCTGCTTCATAATAGCGATAGCATACTGGAACGGGGTCAAAATTTATTTTCTATTGCACATCCATGGAAATGTTTTATCTGCTTATTACACCATGCACCATGATGAGAATTACTCTGATACTGTATCAGATTAATTTTCGCCCTAATAAGTAAAATTGCAATATTCACAAAACATTTCTTTTTGTTAATTTAAACGATTTAACAGTATATATATTGAGACATAAAGATAAGCCGCGTAGCTTCTTTTGAAGAAAATATCCTTGGAACTCTCAAAAATATTATATTATTTATGTGTATAGTTTCTAAGTTCAATAATATATAACATACAATAAATTAAATAGTATTATTTAATATTCGAAATTATGCACAAAAAACATCTAACTTTCGTTGTTATTATTTTAATATGTTACTTCAAATATTCAATGTAGATCAATTCAAATAAACAGTTACGCTTTATATGTATGCAATAAATAGTTGCCAATATTTTTGTCCGACATCTTTCTCGTATGATATAAATTGTTTATGACATGATAATCTGCATAAATGCACTCGCGCGGATCAATGAGCGCGAGCGATAGTGCATTGAGGCCTTGTAGAGATAAAAAGATAGTCCTTGTCGGATTAAAAAAGAAAGACGCGCATAGTGATTAGAAATGATTGAAGCGTCTTTTTCTTCCCCTGTCACACAAAGAACAAATAGGTGTGCATATCTCTTCAGTCAATTGTGCTTTACTCATTTATGGGCCCTAAACATTTATTTTACGTTCAGATTATATATTTTAACAAAAATAAAAATTAAATCTACAAAAATTATCGTCTCTCATTTCTCTATTTAAGATTTTTAAGACTCTGTTAAAAAAAAAGATAAAAAGAAGAATATAATTATCGTTGATACAACAAAGTGCAACACGCGGACGCGCGTTTTCTATATTTAATTATTTACTTTTTAAAAAATTAATTAAGTAATATAAATTTAAAAATTTTTTTGTTTCGAATCTCTGGTCCATAGATCTAGGCAATAAAACGTCTCTGCTTCTCATTCAGAAGAAAGATATGTAGGTCTCTTTCGAGTAGCATTGGCTTATTTATACCGATCACCATTCACTTAACAGTACCGACCATTTCTAACTACTCGGTATAAGAATTATCATTAACGAAACGCACACCGTGTACCGTTGCACAATGATCAACAAGTATAAATAACATTTAAACAATCCGTATTTGGTCTGTGAGCCACAAAATAAGTATAGCTATATAGATTGAGATAACCAATTCGAACTTACCCACTTGCAGAATAATGTCAATGTTGTATGATATATTCCAGTATTGTGACACGTTCCTTTATTTTACGTTATACGATTATTAAAGTGTAAATTTTGAAATATAAAAGTTTTTAATGCAAACGATATTTTTCTCTTTCTTTCCCTCATATTTTAATTTAAAATATTTCTTTCTCTGAGTTGTTAAGACAATTAAGTACGAAAGAAGTTCGAATTCGTATTAAAAGTAAAAAAGCAAAAAAGAGCCTTTGCAAATTAATTTTTGAGGAAACAAACAAACGAACAAGAAACTTACTTTCTTGCGGTCTTTGACTAAGCTTTGAGAGACATCTAATATATTAAAGCTTAATTGATAAACTAATTAATAAACTTTTTAATATTAAAGTTTAATTATTAAGAGATTAGTAGATACATTATTAATTATATAATTAAATATTAAAAATTTTCAATAAATAATAGCACATAATATTTTATACTATCATAATTATAACTTCATATATTTATACTTATTACATGTACAGGGTGTCCCGTAAGTTTTGCCAATCACTTTTATGTAGATAGAGCGGACTAAACTGAATCGAAAAGTCCTCTACCATTTTACAAGACACCCTGTATATTTAAATTAAAATTATAGATATTCACAACATATATTTCGGTAATGGAAATGTATAAGGAATCATCTTTGAATCATTGGCATTTACTTCATCCCATTCATCATGTAGCTCCTTAGTTCTTTCTATCCACAAATCCTTGTGTATAAAAGATATGGCACCTAGCCAATCCTAAATATAATAAAATTTAATCCAGATTATGTGATATTATAATAGAAATAAAATTTTAACATACCTGCTGACAATGATTTGCCCATGCATAAATCATT